GAATAAAACCCTGAAATTTCGGGAAAGAAATGCAAAGAAAAAGTGTAAAAACAGAACGGAGAAAAAGGGGATGATGATCTGAGCTGGTGGCTGCCTTTCGCTCTGCTACAAACGCTGTGCTCTGTCTCTCTGCTTTGATTTTTTGTGGACTGATTTAAATTTCACCTTTTCTTACATTAAATTATAAATAAATAAATTAGAACGTTGAAGAGGAAGATATTCATCATGTCCATTAAGGTCCTGACGGCTTTGTGAATTGATTAAAATGTCTAATTCATGAAATAAAGTTTTGGAATAGGTTTAACTACTTAAATACATTTTCAAATTTCAAACTTTTTAAGATGATGTCTAATGTTTTTTTAATGACATATTATTATTACATGTACCACGGTAAATAGTGATTATTCTTTCGTAAATGTATACAAAATAAATATTTGTTTTAAGATAAAGTTTAATAATATATATTTATTTATTTATACCTCTAATGTCTTTTCTTGAAACTTCTATTTTACAAGTTCTGCACAAATGTGAAAAATGGATTTGATGCAATTGTTAAATTTAAAAACACTCGTGCAAATCACTAAATTTAAATTGACAGATAAAAGTTGGATGATTCGTATCTTAAATTCATGTTTTAATTTAATTTGTAAACTAGAATTTGAGTTATCCAATATTCATCTAACATTCTAATTTGTTAAAAAAAAAAAAAAACTTACTTGTCTTTAAAGAGTGAAGTAAATGTAAGTTTGTCTACAAGTACAATTTGAGTTTAAAACCTTTTTTTTTTAATCTTAAATTGGGACATCATTCCCTCTTCTTAAACTTATATGTACCAAAAATGTTTGTTAGCAAAGAGAAAATATTTTTTTATTAATCTTTTCGGTGACAATCTTTTCATGCATTGTTCACTTCAAATTATGTGTTTTACTCGTACAGTAGCTTATACAGGAAAAAGATGCAGATATTAATTAAGTTGTAACATGATTTATAAATAAAATATCAAAAAGTGTCATTATTGTGGTGTAAAAATAGTGTCATTATTGAACTTGATGGTGAAAGTAATTAGAAATATTTTATTTATAGGTGTGTATGTGAATGTCGATTAGGATATTTTAATTGTGACTTATGAAGAGATTTAGTGTTTTTATAGTTTTGTGACAGTATATTTAGCTGTAAATACAGCGTTTCTTAATGTTTCAATATGAAGTATGGTATAGATTTATAGATTATATTACATTAATTATTTTTATTTTAGTGCTTAAAACTCCTTTATTTATTCATGAAATTAGGAAAGTTATAAGTGAAGATTTGTAAAAGGTATTTTCAATTTTATGACTCGATATAATGACACCAAAACAGCATGATCATTTTTCACTTGTCTATACTAATAATGTTTGTGAATTGCGGTGATTGACATCTTAAATCGAAACAACTTTTTATTGTTGCTAGTAATAACAAAATTAAAATTATAGTTACGATAAGAAACCACAACCTAAATCTAAGTTAAATGTAATATGATCTCTTACCATTAAGTTTTTTTTTTAAATTAATTAATTGTCTCTATTTCTAATATAATCTTAAATTGGTCGTTAATGGTGATGAATCAAACCAAAAAAAATTGGTCAGTTACATATGTTTGATCGAAGAAAAATGTATTATTTTCATATTTAATTCAAGTTTTAAAAAGATAAAGTTGATGAATAAATAAAAGAAAAAAAATCCTTCCTCCTCTCATTTCGGATCTCCTTCAATATCAGAAGATACGAAGGAGATAAGAAGTTTTAAAATATTTTTTTAATAATATTTAAAATATTTTTATTTATATTTTTTAATTTAAATTTATAAAAGTACAAAGAAAAATAGTTTTAAAATATTTTTTCTCTCCTTAAAAATTAAATAAGGAAATAACAAACTCTCATTTTTTTCATGAAAATCTTCCTCTTCCTCTCAATCAAACAAAGATTTTAATTATCCCTTCCTTTTTCTTCATTAAAATCTATCCCTTCTCCTCTTTTAACCAAATAGACTTTATAGTTTATCTTACATTCTTATTGATAATTAGACATTTAAAATAAATATATATAATTAGAACACATTCTAAAAATAAATATGACAATTACATGATCTTATTTTTGATCTAGTGTTTGTTTGAGGGTATATTTGGTTCTATTATAATATGTTTGAAATCAATTTTGTTATGTCTAAAATGATCAAAATCATGTTTATTGCATGTATGACTATTAATAAAATTGATTTCAAGATATCTAAATTCACATTATCAAAAGTACTTATTAATAACTTATCCATCAGACAAAAATAATTTTATCTACCTAAATTTATAATTATACACTCAAAATCATTTTTGATAATAAGTTTTCAAACAACATTTAATATAAAAATTAAATTTATATCTTTTGTCATAAAAATAAAAATTAAATATATATCTTTTAAAATATATAAATTTTCTCAAAATTAATTATGCAAACTCATATGAATTCTAAATCATTAATACCAATTCATATCCAATTATAAACCCAACACCTCGTGAACATGTTGAATTTTCATCATAATTTTTTGAACTCTAGTATTTTTTTATTGTGATATAATGTCTACAATTATATATATATATATATATATATATATACGAAAA